TACCCCTTAGTTTCGGAAACCCCCATGTCTGACTTTCACGCCATGTCTTTTGCGCCGAGAAGCCGACCGCCAAGGGCCGCAAGGAACTCGCCAGGGTGAGCGACACGCCTTAACCTTGGAGTCATGCGGGCGACTTCATGTTTGCGGCACTGAGTGGTTATCTTTGACGATGCAACCTTTGAAATCGATGCAAGCTTTGGAATGCGGGATGGCACAGGGTTGGCTTGTAGTGCGCTGCAGCAGTCGTCGGAGCACGTCGGAGCCAATCCGACTCTTGTGATGGGCAAGCAGTTCTCCAGATCAGGTGCATATTGCATTGCAGGTACAGCTAGGTAATGTGTACATTTAGATGGCACCACCCTGATACCGTCCCAGGCTTGCCGCCCGCCAGAAGCGATGTAATCTTTCGGAATCTTCTAGAGACGGGATCCGGGATCTGATCTGCCACTTGTCACTTGACACTTGACACTGCAGCGTCGGTTACAAGAAGAAAGGCAGCATGTTCAATCGCTTCATTCCTGCCAGAACCCAGGGCCATGTTGCCCAGCTTCATGCAGTGTACTTTAATTGTACTACAACTTTACTGGAGAAGTTTGCCCACTACCGCACTGTGGCCATGGCCTCCGGCGTGTCACTGTTCTGGCGTGTGGGCCTGCGCCTGGCTTGAAAACTGGCAGAGTGTAGATCCTGTTCAGAGGACGTCAGCATGCGCACATCAACTCATGTAGATGTATGCACTAGTCACTGGCCGGTCTGAATTCGCCGATTAATTACCACTTACATGCCTTTCCTATCCGCTTGTCTATCTCTCTCTCTCTCTTGCTTGTCCTTCCTCTGTCTTGGTCTCTAGTTGTCTGCCTGCCGCATGACAACGAATGGTAAACCAGCCAGGGCGAAGCCTGTGCATGTGTGCATGTATTCTAGGGTAGTTCCCCAAGCTGACCAGGATCACGACGACGACACCACCACCACCAGACGACCTCGACAACCAGGAGACCACGACAAACCACCAGACCTAAAAGATCACCAAAAGGACCCCAGCAAACCACCAACACACGAGCAAACTGCTTTCCCCAAATACTGGCAGGATTCAGAAGGATTCGGGAGCTCGGCCGGAATGCTTTCCCTGAGCGTTTCAGGAGGACGGCGCCCATATTTGCTCCACTTAGCTGGTGGGATTCAGAGGAACGACAAAAATGCTTGCCCACAACGACTGCTGTGTATTGCTGCGAAGGAAGGTATCAAGGTTTGCGAGGCCATTATCACCCACCCACCCACCCACCC